ATTTAGTCTGGCTTTTAGTATATATATTCAACGGACGTGACCAGTTAAAACATTCCCCTGAAGAAGCCTTAACCGACGAAACGTTGGGACAAATTTTAAAATTTTTTATTGCCTGTAGAAGTCTTTTTAAAATTTTTTAAATAAAAAATTATATTCATATATATACCAGGCATGATTCCCAAAACCTATTCATATATATATATATATATATATATATATATATATATATATATATATATATATATATATATATATATATATATATATATTATACAAATAATGAATGTTTTAATTCGTGCAATGGTAAGAATATTTTCATTCGGTGAAAGATGGAATGTTCCATTCAACGAGGCGACAGCCGAGTTGAATGGAACATTCCATCTTTCACCGAATGAAAATATTCTTACCATTGCACGAATAAAAACATTCATTATTTGTTTTATATAATACCAAAATAGACTAATATTAAAAGTTTACTGTAAGCTTTCGCCATTTTGACGAGTCGTATTTGCATTAAATCCCATTTACTGAGTTTCGAATATCGGGTTAAAATAAACTGCGATCACCGTACGAGAAGCATTTTGACGGATGCGATTTATCGAAAACACAGAGAGTGCAATGGAATAAAACGTATAGTACAATTGCACTCGCAAGAGTGCAATGGAACGTATTCCATTGCACTCTTGGGAAATGGAATTTTCTATTCAATATCACGTGACCATAAACAGCCAATTAAACGATCAGAATTCAATATGGTATTATATAAATATATATATATATATATATATATATATATATATATATATATATATATATATATATATATATATATATATATATATATATATATATATATATATATATATATATATATATATATACCGGGTGGCCCAAAAAAAAGTACTCCTATAGCTGTTTGATTCGTAATAACATCTAAACAAGTATAGCTTTTAAAGAGAAATAACTTGCATCAAATAGAGGAAGGACTAACTTAGACTTTGATATATTACAGTTGTATTTCACTTAAAAATTCACGGAGATATTAATCTTTAAATTCGGGAGGATATTTCTGGATGTGTCTGAAATATGCAAAAATCGGCATATCAAATATTAATCAAGATTTGCCCGACTGAAACATGCACTATTACCAGTAAATAAATGACACTTGACAAATTGTTTATTATGAAACAAAGTATTATTATATCTATTAATCCTGCTCTAACCGAGAAATAATCAACTTTGTTTTGAACCCATGAAAAACATAAAAAAATAGGTTATTTAAGAAAAATTGAAGCGCCTGCCGTGCATGGTCTTTCAGTACCTTAAGTTTGCAAAGACCTATTAAATACTTACATAATTTCGAACGTTCATATTTCAGGAAACAATAAGTTAAGACTTACATGTAAGATGTCTAAATCTACGCCATATCCCTTACAAACCCTAACGACAATTCGCTGAAATACAATTTACCCTGATATGTCATTAGCAAACAAACGCTGGAGTGAAAATTTGATACGCCGATTTTCGCTAATTTTAGACACATCCCAAAATATGCTCCCGATTTTGAACATTAATATCTCCGTGAATTTTTAAGTAAAATACAACTGTAACATATCAAAATCTAAGTTAGTCCTTCCTCTATTTAATGCAAGTTATTTCGGTTTGATAGCTTTACTTGTTTAGAAGTTATTATAAATCAAACAGGAGTACTTTTTTTTGGGCCACCCGGTATATATATATATATATATATATATATATATATATATATATATATATATATATATATATATATATATATATATATATATATATATATATATATATATATACAAATTAATGATGCAGTGAAGCTGTTGACGAGAACATCCAGTTTCAAGAGGGTTGAATTAAAAAATTATGCCTATATCAAAATGATTATTGATATCATTTTGTTGCTTGAAAACACCACGCTTTCATGGTATGGCGATCTAGTTTAATTAAAGGCAACACTCTGAATGGTTAAAATACCAATATTGGATACAATTTTAATTAATTACGCATGCATATACTCCCGCTTGCGCTGGTATATGTTATATGGGCCTTGACCAAGTGACAAGTATGTAATATCTGTAGTTTTAAAATATATACATCATTGTAAGTTTTAAAATATATAGATAATTATTAGTATTACCACACCAAAAGTAACAATAATAACATATCTGACAGGCAAATTAACATCATAACATTATAACGAATGATGCTCTCTGACCGATATACTGCAATGTTGACAATACGATCACTAAATATGTATTGTGAGTGGGCGTTCGTGAAAAGCGATTGTATGTGACTAATGGCATCATTAATTTCTTTCGATGTAACTATGTGTTTCGTCAGTGGCGTAAATTTGTGCATGCTAAGTGGCTCCCGTGGTGAAATGAAAAGGCCAGCCTTGCATGACCGGCCATGCTGAGCGTCGATAGCCTGCGTATAGCGGCTCTCAAAGAAAGTAGAGCCTGCACGAAACCCCATGCTTTGCCATTTCCGCCCACTTAGCCTGCGGGGTACGCCCACTTTAAACAGATGTCAAAATTGGCCAATCACACAGATTGTTTACGTTTGCAAATTTACTTGTCAAAACGAAATATAAATATAGATTGCTGTATGTTCGCAAATTTCAAAACGAAATAATATACGGATGTCGGCGAAAGAAAATTGAAGTCTGTGGGAATAGCGCTAGGCCTAGGGCAATCTTCACCGTTGTCACAAGTAGTTTGCAATCCGTATCTACGATATTTCGTAGCTTTCTCGCACACGTACAAATATAATTTATAGTTTCGACAGCGGTCAACCGTGATGTATTAAATGTTAAAGTTCCGAGCGATGCAGAGAAGAGAATATTAAAGGTGTCTAAAGCCATCATTTCAGAGAGAGCAAGTCCTGTTCATAAGACATAATAAGCATTTACAGCAATTCTCTCCTGGCACAAAATTATTAGCTAGAAAATCATGAAGAAAAAATCTATTTGTCGTCGATGAATTGATGAAAACGAACACGCTTGTGAAAGAGGCGCTGCTAACAGACAGCAATCCAACGAAGACACCACAGTCAATATCTCTAGAGCTTCGTGAACCAAGTTCGTAAATACCTTTATTATTCAACCGTAAATTGTAGCCTTTAAGCTATTTTGAATGCAAAACTCAAAGAAACGCCTCTCAATAATACATCCGCCGTGTTTGTATGATTTTTAGCATAAATTAGCATATTTTTTCATTTTGAACCAATCAAATTTCTCGTCCTCTGAGAGAACGAGTAAATACGGCAAAGCAGGGGGTTTCGTGCAGGCTCTACTTTCTCTGAAAGCCGCTACGCAGGCTAGAGCGTCGACGGGGTGTGATGACTAATGAGTACATACAACTTACTGATTCTTCCAAAACTTACGTAAAAAACAGTGAATCCAAAGAAAAACATGGCTCAAAGATTCTCCTTGACAGCGTGTCACACCACCGTATGTTCTTCTAGTAAAATAGTTCGAGTTCTTGTCAGTGTTATTTGAATGTGCATGTTTGCGGTATGCCAAGATTCCAAATTATCACGAACGGGAAAACTACCTTTGTCAGTAACGTGTTTGTGTACAAAATTTTTCTGATCGTGAAACTTCTGTGTGAGATTGGTTATATCTCGTCCTACATCCACTCTACATTCATTTTTTTCTCATTCTTGTTCGAAATTATCTACCTGTTGACCAGTAGAATGCTATAGCAACAGTCTTTGTTTGCACTTAATCTTGTTAACAGCATTAGTTCGCAGTGTTGTAAAAGTTCCAAAAAAGAATGATGAGTAAATATTATAATTACTTCTCTGAAAAGGTGATGATTTATAAATTATATGACAAATTTTAAATTATTTTTGTTCAGAAGTAATCAATCACAAATGATTAATTTGTGGAAAAATAATTGATTACTAATGAGTTAATCTTGTTAGATTAATTGCTTTCCCTTGCGCTGCTATAGTATAGTATTGAACTGCATGCTAATGTGGGCTAAACAACATACTAAACGAAGGGTATATGATTAATTAACAGGGCATTTTTTAAGAGATTGCAACTACTGGGCCAAGTCTCAATGAGGTCTTTTCCCCTGCGTAGTTATGCCTGCGCTCAGTGGCGGCGCTATAGCCCTATTTGAATGAAGGGGATTAGATCATTTGCCAACTGCCTGACGACTTGGGTAGTTCCAACCCTCACATTCATTCCTTAGCGCCGTCCCTGCCTGTTCTGATTTTTATAAGATGAAATGTTGAGATCGAATGTGAGAGGATATGAGAAAGCAGGCAGATGCAGTTTTTCCAACATGGTTGACTTTTTACTAATGATCAAAAGGCCCAGTTCATTTGAAAATCTTTTTTCGCTCCTGGGGCAGGCGAAAGGCCTGCTGGGGTAAATGTCCCAGTAATTATATAGTTAAAAAATGCCCTGTTAATTAATTAAAGAGTATATGAAATGAAGTTTCTTATTTTCTTAAAAGAAAGAACTCTTTAAGCTGTATAGTGCAACTTATTTTTCAGTTTCTTGTTTTTATGGTTTGTTCCCGAGACATTTCAATTTGTTTGATATGTAAATGAGTGTGAATATGTCCGCTAATTTATGACGTCATGTTGATTGCAAGCTCTTTAAAATTGTTGAATATCACTAGCTGCTGTCATCCCAGATGATAATTTGAAACTTCGCTCACTGGTAAATGGAATGAAACACTGGAAAAAAACGTGAACTGATATAAAAAGTTTTTAGAGTTAATATATTTATAACCAGTGTAAGTTGAGCTTGCAACCAACATGACGTCATAACTTAGCAGACATATTCACACTCATTTACATATCAAACAAATTGAAGTATCTCGGGAACAAACCACAAAAACAAGAAACTGAAAAATAAGTTACACTACAACTTCAGGTTACAGAACACCTTTGAGTGTTAATTTTGTCTAAATTTTGTTTTATTGGTTTCCATGAAAGCATTAGACTAGTTCCGTCAGGGATGCCGGAAGTTGCTGAGGGCAAGGGGTGCAATTGGTTAACAAGAGGGCATACTCCTTAATAAAAGGGCACCAATGAAAATGAAAGGGCGTCATGATCCTACATTCGTGTCAACCTCCCTCCCCGTCACCAAATTTTTTAGGACCGAATACAATTGTTTAGGCACAATTCCTTCGTAATTTCTCGCCAAAAATTCCATAAGTAATGCTTTCCGTTTCACCTTTCGCCAAATGGATAACAACTTTGCCGACTTCCTGACGACTGGTGGGGGGGGGGGTAGAACACCCCCACACACATCCTCGAACGACGTTTAATTCTGTCTGTTGTAAACGTTTTGTGCACCCGTTACACCCATATTCTGCACCCGCACTGCACCCACACAGTTGAAAATGCAAAAGGCAAGGGGTGCACTTGCACCCGCTGCACCCGTGGTTCCGGCATCCCTGAGTTCCGTACTACCTGACTAAGTTTGAACGAAAAATGTTGAAAACTCGCAGAGTTATTCAATAAAATACATTTCGCTGCAATAAGAAAAACATGGAGAATGTAATATTCAAATTCAATTTTCTCCCGAAGAATTTTACGGTAATTACTGATTTTCAAACGAGTTGTTGTTCTCCTGCGGGTTTCAGCCAATTTTTCTCAAATTTTCACAGGACATAGCTAAAGACGTCAGTTTCAAAAATGTGTTCGGCTTTGTTCTAATTTTGGATATTTTAATAATAAAGAGCAATTCACTCAAACAATTCAGAAATATATTGCAGTCGTCAAAGAAATCGCCATTTCAGCGGAATGACGAATTAAAAAAAATTTCCGAACACTATTTTTTAGAACAACTATTTTTCTGTTTAAGGTGGCTCGATATAGTTATCATGAAAACCCTGCTCAAGAATCGCGAACTCAAAACCGGGTGACCATTTTTACGCGCAGGTCGCGGAAACTGATTAACAAAATGACAGAACTTCCAAAATGACCTGACGTAAGCAGCTGCTCGCGCCATCTCACGTCATTTCGCGTGTTCTGTATAGCGTTTTATGTCAATTGCTGACGTCATTAGAATTTTCCATTTTAGAAAAACAATGCGCTATATCTCTTTATTTTGTCTGGTGACCTATGTTCAAATTTTGCATGCTGTATTGCACCGCTAAAAACTTTCATTATACAAAAAATAAAAAAATTCTGTAATGCCAAAAAAATTTTACCGAAGAATATGACATTTTCGCATTTTCCAAAAAAATGGCATTACAGAATTTTTTTATATTTTGCTAATTGTTAGCTTTTCGTCCAAGTGAAATAATGCAAGAAAAAAAATTGGGGGTCACCATGCTTCTTTTCCAACTATACGAGACGAAAGGCCATTTTGGAGTGTATTTTGTACACGTATGTCGTCATAGCAACGAACTATTTGTTACTAAAACTAATATAATTTGAAAGTAGAGATATCGAAATATATAAAAAACCCAATATCTGCTGAATATATTCTAAAAATGCATAGTTTGAACATTTCAAAGTGTTGAACACCTGAATTTTTGAAAACTGTATCGAGCCACCTTAAAAATGATATTTTCATAAATATAACTTAAAACCAGCAGGAGCACAACTCAAAAGCGTACCGGTACCGCGATTTAAGATTTTCCTGAATAATTCTTACATTATTTTATTGTTTGTTAATTTTATAACTTTACCATATTTTGCATGCACTGGCGAACATTTGGTGAAAATTTGATGAAAATCGGACTGATTTTGAGCGCGCAGTAGTGATTTTCCGCAAAACGCCAAAAAGGGTGTCCTGTAACCTTAAAGAGTTCTTTCATTTAAGAAAACAAGATATTTCATGTCATACACTTTAATTTAAGCTGCGTTGAATTAATTGCCTATATGAGTACTGTAATATCATTCTGTCCTCGAAAGCTGAACGTATATACGTTCAACCTCAAATTAGAAATTAAATAATCAAAAACTAATTAGTAATTAGTGATGCACTAATAGGATATTTCCTCTTCTTATTTTTATTTCTCTTGCAGGAAATATGGCTGAAAAATATATTGAGCGTAAGTATGTTGCTCTCATATATAAGTTTCAAACTTTTGATGAATGTAAGTTTAATTAAAGTATCAGACAATTTGACTTATATGTATCATTTATAGACCCATAGCGAGGGGAATTCGGCGTAATATTTCCCAAAGTAATGATATTAAATCAAATCTTCTGTACAAAAATAACGAAATTACAAACAACAGCTCGCGAACGCCATATTGTTTCAGAGAGTGGTGTCCACGCGTCACGCGTAAGCGTGGGATACTATAATACCCCACGGTGGATCTGCCGTGGGATATTATAGTATCTCACGCTGCATTGCGATATCCTTAATTTGAGTGAAATACCGTAAAAAATCACATTATCACGTGGTACAAATGCTGTTTTTTCATTGGAGAATTTGAATTTGAGATATAATATTAATATAAGTCCATCGGGCGCAGAGGCAGCGGATTACCTCGAAAGTGAGAGGGAGGGGACTGGCACTGACCAGAAAGGGCACTTGAGTCAGCAAACATTCTAAATATCTTAAATGTGTCCTTAAAAGGTCTAGAGGTTGGGATGCATGCAATAAAGAGCCTTGCATGTTATCCCCGAACCAAAGGCGCGGAGCGCCGTTACGGGAGTAAGCCCGGGTTTGAGGGCCCTAATTCCGCCCGGCTATTTATACCCGGGGAAAGGAACGCACTAGCGAAGTCTAAAGTTCATTAATAATCGCGGGCGCATGGCTATGGTTCACTGTGGTCATCCTCACTGATCTTAAAATATGTAACGGACTGTCGTGAATAGCGAACACTGATTGGTCAAATTTGAAATGTGTATTGTAACAACTGCATGACGATAGCGAAATAACAAACATTTCTTGCAAATATATTGTATTTTTGCAAGATTTTGTAAATTTCAAAACCTTTTTGAAAAAAGAAAACCCAAAAACGTCTAAAAAAGGGAGCAAAGACGCTAACGTTAATGAAGGTAAGGTTACGTTGTTTGTATTGTTTGCTTTGACATGAAAGACTAACTGACCAATCATATGTCAACAACCAATACGTAGGCCAAAGGTCATTGTGATAAGGGCTTTCACAAATATCCAAACGAAGAGCAATATCTTGTTACCGAGAAAGAAAATTTCCATCAGTGACTTGTCTGGTGCATTGTATGGGTACAATTGAAAAATCGCGCTGCATTGTCGAATCGCGTCCAGTGAGTCTCGGTCTTTAGTATGCCATTTAAGATTATCGTCAATCCACAATCCAAGCGATTTAAATGAGGAAAATTTGCCCTAATTTTTGGGATAAGAACATGTTGTATGTAGAAGACCGAGTATTATGGTTATGTACCTGGGTAAGTGATTATCTTGGTTGAAATTAATTTCGGAAGAAAAAAGAGTGACAACAATTTTCCGAATCGATCTGTTATAAAGGACTATAAGATTGGATTGATATATGTGTTTGTTGTATACTTGACGTTGCATTGGTCTAAATTAAAGACGGGACGACAATTTTTGAATAATGTCACTGATGATATGTATTTTTTAACAATTTTTTTTTACTATTTTGTTTGTGAACTGAACATGTTGTCAAATAAACTACCGTTTATCTTTAAAAATGTTCACAGCGTATTAAAATTGTTTAGTTATTGTGCTTTGGCACTTGAGACCAACCAGTCGTCAACTTCAATTTCTGTAGTCAGCGCAAACTTTAGTTCGCTGTTTTGTATCTCGTGTAATATATAGTTTTAACTGCACACGTTAAAATGTTTCATTGTCCACGCCATTTTGAAAAGCGCGCTTTAAGGCATTTTAAAAATTTTCCGTACCGGATTGTCTGATCCTGCACGTGTAGTGACCAATCAAATTGCGTATTTGATTGATTATTTATTATATAAAGTAGCTATCTTGCTGTTCATGTATATAGAGCAACAAAATGTCGATGTTTCAGTTTCGATCATACTTGTCTAATATAGCGTTGGATTTTTTCGTATTTGAAGAATATGGTATTTTCAGCTTACAATTGAATCAAGTAGAATTCCTAAATTTGTTTAATACTTCTCTTGTTCGATTTAACAATTGTTAATAAATAGAGAAATCACATAATTTGGAGTTCCTTGAGGAGGATTAAACAGACAAATTTGTTTTTATCAGACAGTTTAGTAGGTTTCAATCAATCGTATATTTTCCACATATTTTGGTTTACCATCACAGACTTCTAAATCAACAAGGCTTGTATCGCAAAAAATTTAGTGTCATATGCAAATATATATTATAAGATAAGGAAACTATCTGTCTTCCACTAAATTCTTGCTTGTATATTAATATTATTTTTGTCATTGGTAATAATAAAGCTTCTTCTTCTTCTTCTTTATGCATAATACATAACTTAATTCGCTTGCAGAGGTATTCTGTCTTTAAGAGCCCTCTAGTTTAGTAATACTTCAGTCGCCGCGGAACCTTACCAACTGGAAGCTTTAGGAAACACGCAATACTATTGTGTCAAATTTTGTGGACGCGTACATCAGTTGAGATAGTTAATATACTATGATTTAGGTAAGGGACCGGTCATTATTTATGGTGGGTGGCACCGAAGAGAAAAGGGTTGGGTAAACAAAATTTTGAGTGAGTAAAAGGTTGGGTAAATGAAAAATAAAACAACTCAAGGGTTGGGTAATAAAAGTTTAATGTCATTTCCAAAGCATGACTCACTCAAATATTGGAGACTAAAAAGCAATGTCAACAGTCATATGTCAATTCAATATGTAAATCAATCAGAGTCAATATCTTGATCATTTTCCGATTTGTTGGGATCGAGACAAATGGTGTCTCCAAAGAAAGTACATGTGCAGACAAGATGCAACTTTAGACTGCAGAAAATTTCACAAGCCGTTATCAAACTCATGTCACAGAAGTGGTAAAGGACATGTGTGACAACTGAATGGTATTCGTTTGTAAAGTTTTTGGCCAGGGGTGGGTATTTATTTTTTAATAGATATTTGAGGTTAGGTAATCAAATTCTTGACATTTTAATGGATGGGTGAGCAAAATTTTTTCCACGAAAAACATTTCTCTTCGGTGCCACTCCCCACCATAAATAATGAACGGTCCCTAACAGGCTAACTAAAATAGTCTTCAAACACTCATTAATAATTCATTAAGCTTATTGGCAAATCATGTCAACCATAATATGTCACGTGCAGTGGCTTTAAACCTGATAAAACACTCCTAATTAGTATATTCTTTATATAAAGAATACTAATAAGGCAGTATCTATTGTAGTCGTGTCCTCATTAGTATTCTTTATATAAAGAATACTAATAAGGCAGTATATCTATTTAATTTGTAGTCGTGTTTGAAGCCGTTTAATAAACTCGCAGGTCGTGTTTTCAACCTAATAAAACACTCCTGCTCGTTTATTAAACAGTACTTAGAAGACTAGCCTAGTTAGTTAACTAGTTAGTTAGCATAAATTATATGAGCTAATTACACATTCAGTTTACTCTGCTGATAAAAAGTATAATAGTTAATGAGATAAAGATTATGCTTCCCTGGAAATTCGCGATCAAATAAAACGCCTATATATGCAGAATGGACTTGATCACCATGGTCATAGAATAAGAGAAGACAATTCTTCAAAACAAACAATTTTTAATCAATTGCACATTTCTTAATTATATAGAGCCACGCCCTCGTCCCATACCACCGCCAAGAAATCGGAATGACGTCCCACCTGATAATAGCTCACCTAACAATGGCCCATCTGAAAATAACCCACCTGATGATGAATTGTATACAGAGGTAGATAACTATGAAAGACTTGAAGCCACAGGCCATTCCTCTGAAAATGGTCGTTCTGACCAATCATTTCAACCTGATCAATCTACATACTTCAACCGCCTCGCGCAGTCTCATTCTCGACCAGTATTCCAATCTGAGCAATCAGACTCCCACCACCCTCATTCTCACCAGGCATTCCAGTATGGTAAAGGTACTGTACATAAGAACAATCCCTCTCAATCTGAATACGCCACCCCTCCCGACGATGAAGAAAGTATCCATGATAATGAAAATGTTGGAAGCAATGAAGGACAAAGTTCATCTGAAAATGTCTATGAATACATGGACCTAGAGACACGCGACGTGCGAAACACTTACGACTACATGTTCAGTTGCGAATACAAAAGAACGGTGTCAAATGGTAAAGTATATAGCTTTATATGGTATCCTATCTTTGGAAAATGCAGGGACAGCTTGGAGCACATGTATGTTTAGGATGTTTACTGTATTCTGTGACTGTGTCTGTGCTGCACAGTGTTGACTCAACTATATGTATAAATCTTTTTCTGTAATTTTGTAAGGATTGCAATATATGGGCGGTCCATGTCTAGTTCATATTTAACTTTGCAAAGTGTAAGGATGGTTTGGGACGCATTGTTGTGTGTTATAATTTTGTATTGTAGCTTTGTTAAAGTTATAACCTGTCTCTATTGTTTTACAATGTTAATGTAATATGTAGGTAGGACTTACTTTGGGACTCCACAGTCCTGTTGTCTGTACCTTCAATCGTTTTGTTGATTGTAAAGTTTATAAATTAAAATATACATACTATACTATACTATACTATACTGTACTGTACTGTACTGTACTGTACTGTACTGTACTGTACTGTACTGTACTGTACTGTACTGTACTGTACTGTACTGTACTGTACTGTACTGTACTGTACTGTACTGTACTATATCAAGTATATACATACCAGTATATACATACCATACTATATCAAGCCATCCGTTGCCTGGCGAGTGGTCCTTAATCTTTATTTTCGTTCTGAGCCCAGTTGTATAAAACTATCGTGACTAAAACACCACACGAGTACATACGAGTAACATACGAGTAACACACAAGTACACACAAGTACATACGAGTAACATACGAGTAACATACGAGTCCATACGAGTAACACACGAGTAACATACAAGTACACACGAGTAACATACGAGTACACACGAGTAACATACGAGTACATACGAGTACATACGAGTAAAATACGACTACATACGAGTAAAATTTCTTTTAAGAGTCAAAACTTTCACTTTGGCTTCGTATTATGTTCATGTTGGGAATGTCTTATTGACATAGGCGTACGAGACGGGGGGGCAGGGGGGGCAACTGCCCACCAAAATTTTGGAAAACCATGGAAATTCGGGCAAACGCTAGGAAAAATCAAGAAAATTCGGGCAGATTTATCAGAAAATATGTTAAAATCAGGTTATTTCATTACAATTCACCATAAAAATTCGGGCAAACTTTCAACTCCCCCCCCAGAAAACATCAGCCCCGTTCTCCAATGCGTATTGATGGATTTCGAAGCCTCGCACGACGTAGAAAAGGTAATTCATTAATATAGAATAAAGATTTGTATGTTCTAAGACTCTAAAAAGGTTTAAATGTAGTATATTGCTCACAGGCTGTCAGAGAGTTTTTGTAGTACATGAAAGTGCATGTTTGCCATGTTGTTTATACGTCTGTAGTCTATGTGTTTTGCAAATTTAATACGTCAATTGTACACCTGTTTTCAACAGGGAAATATAAAATACTTAGGGTTCTTAGGGGAGCTGGTGGATTCTAAAATTCAAACAGCATAATAAAAATGACCCTCCCTTTTAATGTGTTTAAAAATGTAGTCCACCCCTTTAGAACAGTCTGAAAATTTTTCATCCCCCTCCAACATTAAAGTTAAGAAGAACATAGTATGGCCGTATGGTAGTTCTTCCCATCCTATTCTTTTGTGTGCTCTTTACAACCAGGGGCGTAGAGAGGACCTTCAACTTGGGGATGCTGGACAGGATTTAGCCAACGGGGGGGGGGGAGGGCGTGAAATAAAAATCCAAATCCACAATATAATTGTGTATAACCTTGTCTAAGTAAGTAGATATGGCCCCAAGAAGAAAGGGTTTACTTTAGGTTTTTAAATGTAAAATATCAGTTACTTTCAATCATTCGGTTTTAAAAGTAATTTGCGTTATTTTAACCCATCATTTTCCATCACGAAAAATCATGTCTTTTATGCATTATACAGTCTTCGGACTTATGCAAACTCACACCCCGAAAATGCAGGAAATCGCATTTCAGGGACCCTAGATTTCAAAATATTCTGGGGGGGGGGCATGCCCCCAGACCTCCCCTAAAATGGCTCACGCCCGTTTTACGCTGGCTACGCCACTGTCTCTATACCATCTTCTTTATATCAATGCTATAAAATTTTATTGTCTCCCCAAAACACTTCTTCAAAAGATTTAAACACAGGGAGCCCAAGCGTTGATCTGTGTTTTAATTGAATTATTTCACTACATTACACTAATA